AGAGTGAATACAGAGGGTTCACCACAAGATGTAAACCATTGGTGAGCCCAAAAAAAACAGGAAGGCCAGATTAGAGTTTGCCAAATGACATCTAAAAAAACCTTCACAGTTCTGGAACAACATCCTATGGACAGATGAGACCGAGATCAACTTGTACCAGAGTGATGGGAAGAGAAGAGTATGGAGAAGGAAAGGAACTGCTCATGATCCTAAGCATACCACCTCATCAGTGAAGCATGGTGGTGGTAGTGTCATGGCGTGGGCATGTATGGCTGCCAATGGAACTGGTTCTCTTGTATTTATTGATGATGTGACTGCTGACAAAAGCAGCCGGATGAATTCTGAAGTGTTTGGGGCAATATTATCTGCTCATATTCAGCCAAATGCTTCAGAACTCATTGGACGCTTCACAGTGCAGATGGACAATGACCCAAAGCAGACTGCAAAAGCAACCAAAGAGTTTTTTAAGGGAAAGAAGTGGAATATTATGCAATGGCCAAGTCAATCACCTGACCTGAATCCGATTGAGCATGCATTTCACTTGCTGAAGACAAAACTGAAGGGAAAATGCCCCAAGAACAAGCAGGAACTGAAGACAGTTGCAGTAGAGGCCTGTCAGAGCATCACCAGGGATGAAACCCAGCGTCTGGTGATGTCTATGCGTTCCAGACTTCAGGCTGTAATTGACTGCAAAGGATTTGCAACCAAGTATTAAACAGTGAAAGTTTGATTTATGATTATTATTCTGTCCCATTACTTTTGGCCCCATAACAAGTGGGAGGCACATATGCAAACTGTTGTAATTCCTACACCGTTCACCTGATTTGGATGTAAATACCCTCAAATTAAAGCTGACAGTCTGCAGTTAAAGCACATCTTGTTTGTTTCATTTCAAATCCATTGTGGTGGTGTATAGAGCCAAAAATGTTAGAATTGTGTCGATGTCCCAATATTTATGGACCTGACTGTAACGGGAGACAATACAGCAACAATACAGTTCAATAGAAGAGGGTTAGGAGGGCCCTGATCCTGGGAGCTTACAATCTAGGAGGGAGGGGCTAGTGGTACAAAAGGTAATAACTGTGGGGGATGGACTGGTTGGAAGAGTAGAAGATTCCAGTATTAGCTGAGGGCAGGATAGGCTTCTCTGAAGAGATAGGTTTTCAGAGATCACCTAAAAGTGAGCAGAGTAGGCGATAGTCTGATAAATTAGGGTAGAGAGTTCCAGAGGATGGGGGAAGCTCTGGAGAAGTCCTGGAGACAAGCATGGCAGGAGGAGACAAGGGAACTAGAGAGCAGGAGGTCATGGGAGGAGCGGAGAGTACGGTTTGGGTGATATTTAGAGACAAGATTGGTGATGTAATTTGGGGCAGAGTTATAAAATGCCTTGATAGGTTGACATCAGTCTGGAGGAGTGGGTGTTCCTATAGGCAGGTTGTGTTTGTGTAAGGGTGTGACGCATGGATAAATACTGATGTTCAATGTTAAACTATAATGTGCCTGTAATATGCTCTTTGGTCAGTAGATGGCAGCAAAGTACGAGAATCAAGTTTGCAGAGACATTTGCTAAGACAGAACCAATACTTATTTACCTTATAAAGTTTAATGAATGTAATTTAGGGGTTGAGTAGGACCCTCAGAAGGGTCATAGTGAACTGTAAATACAGGTTTGAGGCTGCAATTAGGAAATTATTTACTGCATCACAAACCCTCTGGGAAGAGGAGGAGTTCCTGTGCTGAGGAGGAAGTGAAGTCTGGTGGGAGGCAGAGAGCACAACACACACTCCTTGCTTTGCTTTCACTGCGCTCAGCTATTGAGCAGCCTGACACCTCCCAGTGCAAATGACAGATCCGGCCTGAGCTCCGAGCCTGCTCAGCAAGACGGCTCTGGGGGACACACTCGCCCCCACCATAATTTCCACTCGCCATTGGCAAGCAGACGAGTGGAAATTTCAAGCCCTGCAAATTGCATGTGATTTGCACAGGAATGCGGTGCGGTTCCTGTGCGAATCACATGCGATATACCGCACTGCATATATGTGAACCCAGGCTGAAACTGAAATCCAAGAAATGAAAGGGGCGGACCTGGGACGGTGCGGCTGGGGAGGAAAGAGCTAGATGATGCTGGATGTCCTCCAGCCTGACTGGCTGCAGCTTCTAATGCACATTATAAGAAGCTCACAGTGTGCAGTGAAATCAAATTCAGTCCAGGAGAGGAGCCGATACAACTGTGCAAGACTGAAGGGAAGGCTGGAAGTCACATTTAAATAACGATTTTGCGGTAGAAAACATTTGCTTACCTAAACAATAGTAAAGCACGTGGATGTTTTGAAACGCAAATCGCTGTTAGAGAAATAAACCGTCAGAATAAATCACACAGCTGGGGGAGTTGGTGCCGTAGTCAACTTCTTCTCCAAATTCTTCATCTTCAAGCTCTTGTTACCGAGGACACAGACTGGAGGATGATTATTTGTACATTATTAGTGTTTTGTCTGGGAATTGTCAGTTTGTGTGCAATTTATAAAGCTCTTGGAGGATGAAGGGGGTGGCGGGGTCGGGGGGGGGCGCACACCTGCTCATTCTTTTTTAAATTCCGGCAGCTGTGATTGTGTATACTCTGATCTACAGAACTCTTCTATTCCGTCAGAATGATTACATTGGAATTCTTCATTTTATTCTACAAGTCTGGAACATTTGTGTCCAATGATTGGTTATTTTATTGGAGGAGAGAAACAAACAAGTGGATACAATGTATCGCTTCTTATTCACACTCATCGGCCACTGTTCAATTGCTTGGTAACACAAATTGCTAATCAGCCAATCACATGGCAGCAACTCAATGTATTTAGGTATCGTGGTGAAGACGACTTGCTGAGGTTCAAACTGAGCATCAGAATGGGGAAGAAAGGGGATTTAAGTGACTTTGAATGTGGTTGTTGGTGCCAGACGGGTGGTCTGAGTATTTCCAAAACTGCTGGTCTACTGGGATTTGCACACACAACCATCTCTGGGGTTTACAGAGAATGGTCCGAAAAAGAGAAAATATCTAGTGAGTGACAGTTGTGTGGAGGAAAATGCCTTGTTGATGTCAGAGGTCAGCGGAGAATGGGCAGACTGGTTGCTGGTTGCTGCGACATTCAGATGGTAGGGTCAGAATTTGGTGCAAACAGCAACGAAAGCATAGATCCATCCTGCCGTGTATCCATGGTTCAGGCTGATGGGTGGTTGTGGATGTTAGGGAGAATGGACAGCAGAAACATAGGCTGCTGATCACATTCAGATGGTGTGGTGGAGGGGTCAGACTGGTTGCTGAGAATTTGGTGCAAACAACACCAAAGCATGGATCCATATCTGCCTTGTATCAACGGTTCAGGCTGGAGTAAACAACATGGTGGATCCATCCTGCCTTGTATCAATGGTTCAGGCTGAAGAGAATGGAGGGCAGGTAAACAACAGAATGGTGCAGACTGGTTGCTGAGACAATTCAGGTGGTGGTTGTGGAGGGGACTGGTTGCTGACATAATTTGGCGTAAATAACATGAAAGCATGGATCCATTCTGCCTTGTATCAACGGTTCAGGCTGATGGTGGTTGTGGAGGAGAATGGACAGACTGGTTGCTGAGACATTCAGATTGTATTGTTAGAATTTGGAGTAAACAACATGAAAGCATGGATCCATCCTGCCTTGTATCAACGGTTCCGGCTGATGATGGTGGTGGCACTATCCCAGGCACTATGAGCAAGGGGTGGTGTGTGGAAGTATCAGCCTACAGAGAGTAGGGAAACCATTGCTGTGATGTACGTGGCAGTGCGCCCTAGGCGGCTGCCTAGTTCGCCTAGAGGTAGCGCCGGTCCTGGAGGTATGGTACTTCCACTCCAGCTTTGAGTCGTGCTCTGTCAATCACTCTAGCCTATAGTAGGAGATGGGTGTGAGGTGCCATCAGGGGCGCACTGACCATTTGGAAACTCGGGCACTGCCCGAGGGCCCAGGGTCAGTAGGGGGCCCCATAGGATGCCCCTGGTGCCTTTTTCATAGGATGTTTTGAGTTTGGGCAAGGACACAGGGGCCCCATGATCCTCTATTGCCCGGGGGCCCCATGAGTTGTCAGTGCCATAGCTTCAAATGGTGACACTGATGCAGGGATCTCAATGCAGCACATAGACAGTTGTCACCCTACTGAAGGAAAGGAATCATCAAGAGTTCTGTTATCAGGATCACGATCTTATTATAACTTTAGACCGTAGTTCTAGAAAAGAAAAGGAGTCTGGAGCTATTGTTGCACAGAAAACCCCAAAACTCCAACTTGTACTCTGTGTTGCTGTCGGCGGTCTTATGTATCGGCTGACAGAAGGTAAAATTGTCATCAGGTCCATTTGATTTAGTGACCCCATTACCATTTTATTCCTCCTGCAGAAGGGTCATAGTTATTCCTGAAGTTGCTTTTGGCTTATGTTGTGTGTCCAGTTTAGTTTTCTTGACAACCCATTGAGTTGATTTATATAAAGTGGATCCTTCAAGAGCTTTATTTATAAAAACACTGAACCAATCACAGGTGTGTCTTCCTCCAGAGGGTTTTTCTCGTCCTTCCAACAGTCATTCATTGACAGATGAGCATAGCCTAAAAACCAGAACACAATTAACCTTTCATTCTCATGCCAATTATGTGTTTCTACTGCTTCAGGCAGAAGAGAGGAACCGTTTTATGTTAAGATAAGCAGAGCCATCGAGTATGTGTACAGCAAAGCACCGGCAAATAGGGACCCAAAGATGAAAAATATATACTGCTTATGTACCAGGTGCCATCGTATCAAGCTGAATGACTTTGGACTAACTCAAGCCAATAACACTGTCCAGTAATGTTATCTCCTACATCAGGGGTATGGCATTAAAATTCAAGGGGGTCCAGTATGTAAAATTTTCTTTTCTTTTTCTTTTGCAGCAGAGCTCCAAATCTCATATTCTCCTGAGAGTGTACCCTTACTTCAAGTGTCCCCATCAGAGTGTCCCCATCAGAGTGTCCCGTTACATCAGGTGTCCCCATCAGAGTGTACCCTTACATCAGGTGTCCCATCAGAGTGTCCCGTTACATCAGGTGTCCTCATAAGAGTGTCCCGTTACATCAGGTGTCCTCATCAGAGTGTCCCCATCAGAGTGTCCCCTTACATCAGGTTGTCCCCATCAGAGTGTCCCCTTACATCAGGTGTCCCCATCAGAGTGTCCCCTTACATCAGGTGTCCTCATCAGAGTGTCCCGTTACATCAGGTGTCCTCATCAGAGTGTCCCCATCAGAGTGTCCCGTTACATCAGGTGTCCTCATCAGAGTGTCCCCATCAGAGTGTCCCCTTACATCAGGTTGTCCCCATCAGAGTGTCCCCTTACATCAGGTGTCCCCATCAGAGTGTCCCGTTACATCAGGTGTCCTCATCAGAGTGTCCCGTTACATCAGGTGTCCTCATCAGAGTGTCCCCATCAGAGTGTCCCGTTACATCAGGTGTCCTCATCAGAGTGTCCCCATCAGAGTGTCCCCTTACATCAGGTTGTCCCCATCAGGGTGTCCCCTTACATCAGGTGTCCCCATCAGAGTGTCCCCTTACATCAGGTGTCCTCATCAGAGTGTCCCCTTACATCAGGTGTCCTCATCAGAGTGTCCCCTTACATCAGGTGTCCCCATCAGAGTTTTCTTTACATCAAATGTTCTCCTCTGATTGCCCTCTTACGTCAGGTGTCTGCATCAGAGTGTCTCTTTATATCAGGTGTCCCCATAAGAGTGCCCTCCTTACATCAGGTGTCCTCATTAGAGTGTCCCCTTACATCAAGTGTCCCCATCAGAGTGCCCCCCTTACATTAGGTGTCCCCATCAGAGTGCCCCTTTACATCAGGTGTCCCCATCAGAGTGCCTCCCTTACATCAGGTGTCCTTATCAGAGTGCCCCCTTACATCAGTTGTCCCCATCAGAGTGCCCCTTTACATCAGGTGTTCCTATCAGAGTGCCCCATTACATCAGGGGTCTCCATCAGAGTGCCCCCTTACATCAGGTGTCCCCATCAGAGTTTTTTTTACATCAAATGTTCTCATCAGAGTGCCCTCTTACATCAGGTGTCTGCATCAGAGTGCCCCTTTACATCAGGTGCTCCTATCAGAGAGCCCCTTTACATCAGGTGTCTCCATCAGAGGGCCCCCTTATATCAGGTGTCCTCATCAGAGTGTGCCTTACATCAAGTGTCCCCTTACATCAGGTGACCCCATCAGAGTTTTCTTTACATCAAATGTTCTCATCAGAGTGCCCTCTTACACCAGGTGTCTGCATCAGAGTGTCTCTTTATATCAGGTGTCCCCATCAGACTGTCTCTTTATATCAGGTGTCCACATCAGAGTGTCTCTTTATATCAGGTGTCCCCATCGGAGTATCCCCTTACATCATGTGTCCCCCTAAGAGTGCCTCATTACATCAGATGTCCCCATCAGAGTGCCCCCCTTACATCAGGTGTCCCCATCAGAGTGCCCCCCTTACATCAGGTGTCTCCATCAGCGTGCCCCCTTACGTCAGATGTCCCCATCAGAATGCCTCTTTACATCAGTTGTGACCATTAGAGTGCCCCTTTACATTAGGTGTCCCCTAAAATTTTCTTTTTCTTTTCCAGCAGAGCTCTGAATCTCATATTCCAATGAGAGTGTCCCCTTACACCAAGTGTCCCCATCAGAGTGTCCACTTACATCAGGTGTCCCCACAGTGGTGTATTTAGGTATTGTGCTACCCTAGGCAACACAAAAATCATCTGACCCCACAGACACTGACCAACACTCCCCCCCCCTCCCACGGAGAGAGCCTGACATTGACCAACAACACCCCTGCCCAAAATCTGGGAGAGCCTTCCACTACCCTGCTCCCCTTCCCGCGTTAGAGAGAAAGACACCCATCTTCACAGCTCCGGACATTCTCAAGAAAGAGAGTCAGGCTGTACATAGACCATCAAGCAGCCCGCAGCCTCTCTCGGATCCCACCTGGTTCCCATGGCACGCATGTCCCTTCTTCCATCCCTTCTTCTGGGGAGAAGTGCTGCCCCCCTGAAAAATGCTGCCCTAGGCAAGTGCCTTGTTTGCCTTGTGTTAAATATGCCCGTGTCCCCATCAGAGTCTTCTTTACATCAAATGTTCTTACATCAGGTGTCTCCATCAGAGTGCCCTTTTACATTAGGTGTCCCCCATCAGAGTGCCCCCTTACATCAGGTGTCCCCATCAGAGTGCCCCCTTACATGAGATGGTCCCCATCCAAATGCCCCTTACATCAGGTGTCCCCATCAGAGTGCCCCCTTACATCAGATGTCCCCATCCAAATGACCTTTACATTAGGTGTCCCCATCAGAGTGCTCCCTTACATCAGGTGTCCCCATCAGAGTGCCCCTTACATGAGATGGTCCCCATCCGAATGCCCCTTACATCAGGTGTCCCCATCAGAGTGCCCCCTTACATCAGATGTCCCCATCCAAATGCCCTTTACATTAGGTGTCCCCATCAGAGTGCTCCCTTACATCAGGTGTCCCCTTCAGAGTGCTCCCTTACATCAGGTGGTCCCCCATCCGAATGCCCTTTACATCAGGTGTCCCCATCAGAGTGCCCCCCCTTACATCAGGTGTCCCCATCTGAATGCCCCTTACATCAGGTGTCCCCATCAGAGTGCCCCCTTACATCAGGTGTCCCCATCCGAATGCCCTTTACATCAGGTGTCCCCATCAGAGTGCCCCCTTACATCAGGTGTCCCCATCTGAATGCCCCTTACATCAGGTGTCCCCATCAGAGTGCCCCTTTACATCAAATGTCCCCATCCGAATGCCCTTTACATTAGGTGTCCCCATCAGAGTGCCCCCTTACATCAGGACACCATTTTTTTAATCATATATTTTTTTATCTATATATATAAATTTTTATCGTATTTTTAGAATTATATTCCAAATTGATCAACTCCACAGTGATACCTCCAGCAGGCAATGCCTCCTGTAATCTGGGCTCAGAGGAGGACATCTCCTGGATAGACCCTAACTGTTAAAAAGATGGATTCCGAGGTCATTGTAGGCCAACTCTGAAGTACATTGGCAGGTTTCAAGTGGAAACCTTGATGTGTGCTTTCACCCGTGACCTGTTCTCTCTCTTCAGTTTTTGGTTTTGGCGCACCATGAGCATGAGAAGTGGCAGGCTGGCTCTGACATCTGCAGTCCCGATGATGGACAGGAGTTCTTTCATATTGCCAGCCACATCTCTGCCAGACTGACATTCAACTATCATCCATAATTCATCTGTGGTCTCCCTGATGTCTTGCAGATGTTGCCGCCATGGCCAGGCTGTGTATCTGCCTGTGGTCACTGTAATTAGGCATTGCTTTCACTCGTTGCTGTAAAAGAGAAACATCTGCTTTTATGCTGGCTGCTGTGATGGTGCAAATTAAAAATTGAAAACGAATGAGAGACGTATGTTAATTCGGACAGTTTATTGCTATCACATTATGATTATATACAGTATGAGATAAATATATATATGTTTATTATAAATCTTGAAAAAAGTTAAAGCTAAATTCCAGACACAAAAGCTTTTATGCAAATATATTTTTTTAACAGCTACAAAGTATGTAAATCTACTTTGCTCACATCAGAGGCATTTGCAAACCCAGATATTACCTTGCAAAAGTAGCAGTGATATCATCAGTGTACTATACATAATCTGTGCAGACAGCAGAGCTGTGGGAGGGACCCAGTGGGCTCCACCCACCCCAGACTGCTCGCAGAAAACTACAGGAGGAGGCGGAGATAAGACCAGTCCCCCTGCACAAGGAGAGAGAGCAGCAGTGAGCGGTCTTTATTACAGGACGCTCCTACACAGAGGTAAAGTCTCACACTGGATTACTGCACAGATCTGGAAGAAATACACAAAGCACACCAGGATTCAAGGAAGAATACACATCTTTGATTTTTTTTTTTTTTGCAAGTTCAGCTTGAAAACCTATTTGCAACCACGATTTTTGTTTTTTATTTTCGATGGAGTGGGAAAGACTTAAAATTAAAGTGATTATTTCCTCCTGTGATCCTTCCTGCTGGTGAGATGTTCCTTTGTTTTCTGTCCCTGTGATGCCCTTGCAAGAAATGGGGGAATCAGTTGTCACCAAGACAGAAAAGAACAGAATGTATATGTACATGGGGCAGTCAGATGTCCTTATTACTGTATATATTCAGACTCTCTTTCCTGTCAATTTTCTCTCTTTCCTCCTCTCCTGCCTTCCTCCCTCCTTTTCCTTCCTCCATCCCTCAGTTCCTTCATCCCATCCTTCCTTTCTTCCTTCTATTTTTTCCCATCTGTCTTGGTGCTTGCTCATTGTGTATTCAGACATTCTTTCCTGCTAATTTCTCTCTTTCTCCCCTTTCCTCTCTCATGGTTTCCTTCCATCCTTCCCTTCCTCCTTCCTTTCTTCCTTCCTTTCCTTCCTCTTTTCTTCCTTCTCTCCCCCTCCTTTCTTTGTACCTTCCCTCCTTTCTTCCTTCTTTCCTCCCTCCCTTCTTTCTTTCCTCCATCTCATCCTTCCTTTTTTCCTCCCTTCCTTCCTTCCTTCTTTTCCTCATTATATTTTTTATTAATTTCTCTCATTCTCTTTTTTTCTTGCTCCTTCTTTCTTCTTTCTTTTCTCTATGCTCTCCTTCCTTTTCTTTCCTTCTTTCTTCCTTCCTTCCTTCCTTCCCTTCCTTCCCTCTTTCCTTCTTTCTTTCTCTCTCTCTCTTTCTTTCTTTGTTTCCTTCCTTCCTTCCTTTCCTCATTATATTTTTTATTAATTTCTCTCTTTCTTTTTTTTTCTTGCTCCTTCTTTCTCCTTTCTTTTCTCTATGCTCTCCTTCATTCTTTTCTTTCTTTCTTTCTTTCTTTCTTTTTTCTTTTCTTTCTTTCTTTCTCTCTCTCTCTCTCTCTCTCTCTCTCTCTCTCTCTCTCTCTCTCTCTCTCCTCTTCTTTCTTCTTTCTTTCTTTCTTTCTTTCCTCATTATATTTTTTATTAATTTCTCTCATTCTCATTTTTTCTTGCTTCTTCTTTTTCCATTCTTTTCTCTATGCTCTCCTTTTTCTTAAATTCTTTCTTTCTTTCTTTCTTTCCTTTCTTTCTTTTCTTTCTTCTTTTTCTTTCTTTCTTTCTTTTTTCTTTTCTTTCTTTCTTTCTTTCTTTCTCTCTCTCTTTCCTTCCTACCCTCCTTCCTTCCTTCCCTCCCTCCCTCCCCTGTCATGGTGGTTGTGCATCATATTTTCTGTTGATTTTCTCTCATTTTTTTTTTCTCTTGCTCCTTCTTTCTCCTTTCTTATCTTTATACTCTCCTTCCTTTCTTCCTTTCTTTTTTTTTTCCTTCCCTCCTTTCCTTTTTTTGGTGTAAACTGAAAGCAGAGCTGCATAGTAGCGAAGGCTACCTTTGGTATTAGTGGAGACCTCTTGAAAGAATTGCATCAAATTGTATCTTTGTCCATACTGACTTTCTGAAAAGTCAGTATTTGCATAGGTCTTTC